TTTTGGAATCTTCATTTTTTTCTCGTAAACTAAAACATTTTTCGCGTATTTTGAAAAAAAAAAGCAGTTAGCTAGCATGATTAGTAACAGAGCTATGAATTTTTGAAAAATAGTCTAATTCTTAATTGTTTATATTTCGATTAATTTTGCAATAAGAAAAAAATCCTTTGGCACAAAATTCTATCTCCCAAAGTACTACCTTAGTGCAAAATTAAAAAAATTTCTGAGAGATGACTGATCCGATTCACATGGAATAGCCCATATATAGTTATAGGCTCCAAAAGTCTTTTGTATGGGTGTTATTATAATTAAAATTGTTGTTGATTTTTTAAGGTAATAATAGCATTTGAAACCGGTTTTGTTCCACCAAATATCAATTATTCGTCGCCTCGGAATGATATAGATGCCTTGCTAAACGGAACTGTTTGTGTCGTCGAAGAACCAATGCCACTTAAAAATGGTTACATAGGTATTAGTTCTTTTGGTTTTGGGGGGGCTAACGCTCATATGCTATTAAAGTGGAATCAAAAACAAAAAGTTAATAGCACACCAAATGATGATTTGCCAAGACTTGTAATATTATCTGGACGCACTAAAGAATCAGTGAAATTGTTTTTAAATGACGTTAGTATATATTTTAAAAGTCATTTGACATTATTTTGGACAATTAAAGATATTATGTCATATTTTTTATTTTAAAAATTTATTATTGTAGATTGCTAATCATCAGATAGATGTAGAGTATATCCGTTTACTACACGACATCCATTCGGGCAATATAGACGGTCATTCATGGAGAGGGTATATCATACTAAATACTTCGCAACAAGAATCAATAAAAGAAATTCAAAGTTGTAAAAATGTGAAAAGACCTGTTTGCTTTATATTTTCAGCCTTAGGCTCGCAATGGCCAGGAATGGGTATTTTAATATTTATATATACTTTATTAACACTATTTACAGCATCATCTAAATAATAAATTGATATTTAAATTAAAATTAGGTCGAAATTTATTGAAATTTCAAATCTTTACAAATGCGATAAGAATGTGCGATGTTGTTTTAAAACCATATGGTATAAGTGTCACAAATATTTTGACAAATACAGAAGAAAAAGTGTGCGAAAACGCGTTATACGCGTTTCTTGGAATTATTGCTATTCAGGTAAAATATTTCAAAAAACAATACATTAAAATATTATATTATAAATAAATTAATACATATAATGAGCTATGAACCAAAGCTTGGATGTTTTTTCGCTCCTATATTTAACAAGTAAATTAATAACTGGTAAATATACACAGATAACACAGACGTTTTAACTCCGATCGGGTCATTATCAATGTTATGAACGGTAAACAGATTAAAACATTATATAATAACAATAGTTTAAAATTCTTACATTAATTTAGTACTTAAGTAAAACGTTAAAAAACGTTAAAATATTTTATTAATTCTGTTTATATTCTACACAACTATCTTCATGCATACTTTCTGGATTGAAGTACGATATATACTTTAATTTTGATATTGTTTACTTAGTAAATATTGGAGCGAAAAAACATTCAAGTTCATAGTCCATTATATGTATATAGTAATTTATTTTTAATTATTGAGCCTTGATTGTTAAAGATTATTCTATTCTATTTATTAGTAAAACATATACAATAAATATAAATTTTCTATGTCGTTATTTCACTGCGTATTAAAAGTAGCATCTTACTAGATTTATATATTTTTTATGACATTTTATTATTTTACCAGTAATAAATTTTTTAATATTTATAGTATCCAGCTATAATTATTGGTATATATTTGTAGATCGGTTTAGTAGATCTCCTAACATCCTTAGGAATTACTCCGGATTACATGATTAGTCATTCTGCTGGTGAACTTGGCTGCGCATATGCAGATAAATGTCTTACCATTGAACAAACTATTTTAGCAGCATACTTTATTGGTTTAACGTGTGCCGAAGGAAAATTAATTTGTAGTTCTATGGCAATTGTCAGATTTGATTACAAATGTCTTAAAAATATATGTCCAGCGAATATTGAAATAGTATGCCGCAATAGCGGGAACAGTAACATTATTAGTGGTCCCACAGAATCCATGCAAAAATTTATGAAAAAATTACAGGTAGAATTGAATAGCTTCTGCGTATTTTATAAGTGGATAGAAAACTTTGCCTATATAAATGATATTATTTAAAAAATCAAATTCTTAAATTTAAGCCACAATTATTCACACCTGCATGTGTTAAATTTATTGTATTATTGGGTTATTAGGTTAATAATATTTATGTGAAAGAGATCCACTGTAACGCGCCGTATCACAGTTCTTATCTCTCATCTGTGGAATCTCAGCTTTTGTTTAATTTAAACAAAATAATACCACAGCCAAATAAGAGGAGTCCAAAATGGATCAGTACTTCCATACCTCGTGCTGAATGGCACACTTCAGCATCAAAATTATCATCGGCGGACTATCATACGTATAGTATATTAAACATTGTTCTCTTTGAACAAGCGAGGAATTTAATTCCAAATAACGTTGTGACCATCGAAATCGCACCAGACGATGTTCTGCAGCATGTTTTGAAAGAATCCTTGCATCCAGAGGTTACGAACATTTTATTAATTCGAAGCGCTGAACAAAACAATAATATAATTTTTCAAGGAATTGGAAAGCTTTACAACTGTGGCTTACAGCCGCAGGTTGCCAATTTGTATCCGTCTATAACATTTCCAGTTAGTCGAGGAACTCCTATGATCTCCCCATCGATCAGGTATATAATACTTATTACTATAATCATAAAATAAATTGCAAAAAAATTATACATATATAATATATACATGTCTCGTACTCAATGGTACAGCGCTTGTGGGGAGGTAGTGTGGACCAAACTGAACAAAAAAGTCCTTTACCATTTTGCGATCTTTGCAATAGTTTTCGAGATATTAATATATAAAGCTAGTCGAATCCAAACGCGCGGCGAGATACGCCCGCCCGCCGTGGACCGCAGTCACCTCCCCCGCGTGCCTAGTTGGCGGCGCGTGGTGGGGGTAATCCATTGCCGTGTGCTAGACAATCAGTTACCCCCACCACGCGCCCCCAACTAGGCGCACGGGGGAGGTGATTGCGGTCCGCGGCGGGCGCGCGTATCTCGTCGCGCGTTTGGATTCGACTAGCTTTATATATTAATATCTCGAAAACTATTGCGAAGATCGCAAAATGGTAGAGGACTTTTTTGTTCAGTTAGGTCCACACTACCTGCCCACAAGCGCTGTACTATTGAGTATGAGACACCCTGTATATATATAATAATTATGTAATGTATTAACTCACCGTACTTTATATTCCATTATAGATGGGATCATTCTGAAGATTGGTTTATACTGACAGATGAACAACGAAAAGTGATAAAATCCAGAGAAAGATACGTTGAAATCTTAATTGACGATGAAGAATATGAGTATATGAGCGGTCATGTAATTGATGGAAGAAATTTGCTACCCGCGACGGGTTATCTTGCACTCGTGTGGCAAACTATCGACATGATGAAAGAACGAATAGTGCACACAACAGTACCGATAATATTCCAAGATGTAAAATTTATTCGTGCTACTCATTTATCAAGAAATAATGCTGTAGAATTGAGGATTGCGATTCAGAAAGGTATTATGAGAGTAATTTTAAGGTCTAGATAAGAATGCGCATAATCGGGTATTAAAATATTACAGATGGGAAGTTCGAAATAACTGAAAGTGATAGCGTTGTTGTGACAGGTACAGTATACGAAACACCAAATCCAAAACAGGAAATGATTCCGATAGACCTATTACCAGAAAACAACGATGAGGAAGAACATATGATCGCACGAGATATCTACAAAGAGTTGAAACTGCGTGGTTACCAGTACAGCGGCTTGTTTCGTGGATTAAAGAGTGTATCTGTTTCAGGCAAAAAAGGGCATATCATTTGGAAAAACAATTGGGTAACATTTATGGATGTCATGTTACAGATGCGTATCATTGATTATGATACTAGGGATTTGTACGTTCCTACGAGTATTCAGAAATTGGTAATTAATCCCGAGCTTCATGCAATGAAGCTACGAGACGCTAACGACTTGGAAGCTACGCTGAATAAAGAAAAACGTAAATATTCTTTTAATACGAAAAATTGTTTTGTTTTGATTCATGAATATCGTGTAAAAAAATGTCTTTGATGTAATTATTTGAATTATCTTGTTACAGAATTACCAATACGAATTTATAAAGAGATAGATACGATTATAGCTGGCGGAGTAGAAATTCGTGGTCTTAAAGCCTCTCAGATCACTCGCCGAAAATTAGTCCAAGATGCAGTTATTGAAGAACACTTATTTGTAGCTCATTGTGATCGCACTAAGATTTCTTTAAATGAAGCGATTCGGATATCGGCGCAACTCACGCTAGAAGATCATCAAATTGTCAAAGTGAAAGTCATTGAGCTAGTAGAAGATGACGATGATATTCCATTAGAATATCTCTCATCTTCATTACTAATTGAGGCATTTAATGATATGCCATTGATACAAACGAATATCACTCTATTAACATCGCCGAATCGTTTCAATCCATCAGATTTATCACAAGACATTTCAATCGCAGATTTAAACAAAGCGTCCATAGATGACAAAGCTTTAATAGTTGCCGGATTCAATCTTCTGACCAAACGACAAACCTCATTAGAGCGACTGTTGCCATTTTTGAGAGAAGGTGGTTATCTGTTGACGCGCGAGAATTGCGACGTAACTGACTATAAGAAATACTTGCAGCAATACGAATTAAATGTTATTCTTGAAAAGCGCACAGATAAAGAAATAATTGTGCTTCTGAAGAAGAAAGTTTTGATAGAAAAAAGAACTGTTGTCTTTATAAATAATAATAATTTCAATTGGCTGGACGATCTAAAGTCGCTTGTGAGCGATAAGAACAAAGAGAAGAGTAGAATTATAATTGTCGGTGAGAGAGATTTTGAGTGCGGTTTGTTGGGTTTTGTGAATTGCTTGAGAAAAGAACCAGGCGGAGAACTTGTTAGGAGTGTGTTTATTCAAGATAAGGAGGCTCCTAAATTTTCTCTACAAGATTCCTTCTATTTACAACAGCTGCAAAAAGATATGACCATTAACGTATTGCGTTCTAATAAGACCTGGGGATCGTATAGACATTTAAGATTATCACAACCGGAAGTTGAACCTGTATCTAGCGCTCATGTCTGCCAAACGGTACTTACAAATCTTCTCAAATCATATTGATAATCTATTATTGTGTAATATATAATATTATGTAACAAGTAATTATAAGATAAGGAAATACCAACACGGTCAAACTAAAGCGCGAATCGTGTTTTAATAACATTTATATGTGAATCTTTTTCAGTTCAAGCAAACTGCGCACCAAATATTTGTCGAATTTAAAAAATAACTGTAAACTGAATCCAGAGTAATATCACAATTAAATAGACAAAGTAATTTAATAATTTGATGCTAAAGAGCATTTTTTAAATCATGTAAACTTATTGCAAAAAATAATATGTTAACCAGTATAATATATTTTTTGCAATAAGTATTTTCAAATTGTTATTTTAAAATACTTTTATTTAATATTTTAGTTAAACACTATTATTTAAATAATTAAATTATTTTACAGAATTTTAAAAATATTTATTATTTATATAGCATCAAATTATTAAATTACTTTGTCAATTGCAGGTACTTATAAGTTAAAAGAGAGTTTTGATATTACTCCAGATTTAATTTAGAACTATTTTTTAAGACTAACAAATATTTAGTGTGCAATTTGCTTGAAAATTATAAGAGATTGCTGAAAAAAGAGATGCCGAAAATTATAAGAGATTTATTCATATAAATATTATTAAAACACAAAGGTCGGTTTGATCGTGTTGGTGTTTCCTCATCTTAGTTTAAACATTCTATAATAGATTCATATTAATGTTTGTATGTTATATGTGTTTTAAATTTTGTGATGGTTCCATTAAAAATTTTGTTTTACATTGTGTCATGTCATCATATAAAGTTATTGTTTCTCTATAGATTTGTGGTGATTTAAGCACATTCTGTTGGATAGAAAACAATCGATGCGTCGAATCTCGACGTGAAGATTTAGTGTATGTGGTTTATTCATCACTCAATTTCAAAGATGTTATGCTTGTGACTGGCAAATTAGTATTTAATCAAGCGATTTCACAAGGGCGGTTGTTTCAATACATGCCCTTTGGATTGGAATACGCAGGATTCGATGCCAACGGGCAACGAGTAATGGGACTTCGTGACACTGGGTATAAATAATGTTCCAAAAAAATAATAATCCAAAATAATAATGTTGCGTAATATCATAAAATTTAAATTGAATTAAAATTATTCCTTTTAGTTGTATAGCAAACGTTGTTGTGAAAGATAAAGACTTCTGTTGGAAAATACCCGATACGTGGACATTCGAAGAGGCGGCGACGATTCCATGTGTTTACAGCACAGTTTATTTAGCTC